CTTCCGGGGGCTTACTGGCCTAAAGGAAAGGCCCCCTTCTTTGCTGAGACGTCCCTTCCGCTCTGAATGCTGCTTGGCCAATTTTCTGAGAAGCCAAAATGGAAACGGAGCCATCCGCCCTCAATTCACGCCATCGGCTCTTTTTGTGAGCTCTTAATGTTGCAGCCAGGCCCTGCTGCTGTGCAGTAGGATCCATCCTTGCAAGGCTTTCTGTGCGCTTTTTTATTCCGTTCTTTTGGAAAACCTGCACAGGCTCCCAACCCGGGCTATTTTGGGGCAGGAACGCACAGGAACGGCGTTCTGGCTGGCTCCCGAGTTGGCCACGCCCAGGAGGAACTCATTAGCATAATAGGCCACACCCAAGAGCAGACACTCATTAGGACTGGCTACATTAGGGGTGTGTGGCCTAACATGCAAAGGAGTCCCTGCTACAAAAAAAGGCCCTGGGTTTTGACAACAAACAAGGTAAACAGAATAAGAAGCAAAAGGTGGGTGTGGCTGGATGACCACACTTCTGGTAACATGGGGTGCGGCCTAATGTGCTAATGAGCTGTGCTCTCATGGGTGTGGCCTAATATGCTAGTGAGTTCCTGCTGTTGGGTGTGGCCTATTATGCTAATGAGTTCCCGCTGGGCTTTTTCTACCAAAAAGAGCCCTGCTCCCAACCAATGTTCCCTCTAAGCTCTGGAGTCTTGTGAGCAAAAATTCTCCTTTGTGAGTGACTGGCATGAAAGTTATGAGCGAGGGATCTGGATCCTGCATCAATTAGTTTGCTCCTTCTTGAGCAAAGACAAAAATGTGTGTGCCGGAGGCTTAAAAACTGTGAGCTAGCTCACACTAACTCAGCTTAGAGGGAACACTGCTCCCAACACGTCGTCGGGATGGCGACCGATCACGTGGGGGGATCACTTACGTAGCGAGACTCTTGCCACCCCCCAGGTTCTGCTCGAGGCCCTTTATTTCTCCCTGGTGGCCAAGCGCCTGCACCCGGAGGAGGATGACACCCTCGTGGAGTACCCGCTGGTGGAGCACGTCTCGGAGAAGATTGGCCGGGTCCGCCCCCCTCAGGGATTCGCTCTCTTCCAGGCCAAGGAGGAGGCCAGGAAAGTGAAACTTTTGCATAGGATGCTGAAGGTGAGGAGGTGGGGTGTTGTAGACAGCTCATCTTTGGGGAAGGTAGATTAGCGGGGGGCACCCTGGGACTGTGGGCTCTCCTGACAACACCAGGCCACCCCCAAGGAGGGCAACCCCACAGCCTTTTGCAGGTGAGCAGCGGCACCGTCAACAAGACGGGATTTGTGCCGCCCGCTGCCCAGGAGAGGGGCTGACCCTGCCCACCGCCTCTCTCTCTCCTGTCTCTTCCGGCCAGACCTTCCTCGTCTACATGCTTTTCCTGCTGGCCACCCTCCTCATGAACTACGGCGACAGCTCCCTCAACAGCCGGGCCTTCCTGCTGCAGAGCTCCATCAAGCGACAGACGGCCAGCGATCAGTTCCTGCGCATTAAGAGGTACCGCCCCAAAGCATGGCTGGCCCAAGCTCCTGGTCCCCTCCACAGATGTTCTTAAGAGCACCATCCTTTTTAAAAAAATTTATTAAATGGCCTCATCTGCTTGCTCGTGCTTGCTTTAGGTTAGTCACGCATGGCCCAAGGGCTGCCTGGAAAAACCGAAGAGCCCAAACGTCCCCTGCTAGAATCCTCATTCGTTGCCTAGTAAATATCCACTGAATAGTGGATCCAGGAGGGTCAGTGTCTGTGCGTGTGAAGTGTTGTCAAGTCAGTTACAACTTAACGGCGAGACCCTGTGATCCTCTCGTTAATAGCCTTGTCAGGGCTCTTTTTGTAGAAAAAGTCCAGCAGGAACTCATTGCATAATAGAACACACCCAACAGCAGACACCCATTAGCATATTAGGCCACACCCCTGATAACACAACTCATTCACATATTAGGCCGCACCAGCATGTTACCAGAAGTGTGCTCATCCAGCCACACCCACCTTTTGCTTCTTATTCTGTTTACCTTGTTTGTTGTCAAAACCCAGGGCTTCTTTGTAGCAGGAACTCCTTTGCATGTTAGGCCACACACCCCTAATGTAGCCAATCCTAATGATTTTCTGCTGTTGGGTGTCGCCTATTATGCTAATGAGTTCCTCCTGGGCGTGTCACCCTGCCGTCGCAATTCAGAGATCTAGCCCGGTAATGGCTTTCCCTTGCTCAGGTCTTGCAAGCTGAGAGCTGTGGCTTCTCTGCAATTGATTCCATCCATCTCAGGTTGGGTCGTCCTCTTTTTCTGCCGCATTCCACTTTTCCCAGCATTATTGTCTTTTCCAGTGAGTCATGTGACCTGAGTACAACAGCATCAGTGTAGCTAAAGTGGGGCTTTGGGGGGCTCCACTCCCTTTCTTAAAGGCACAGCCCCACAAGAATTTCTCCTATAAGTGCTTTTTTTTAGAGACACGTGCTCCTTTAAGCAAAGTGGGGTGCTATAGTTGTTATGTTGTTTGTCAACAAGATACTGTTTGGAAAGTTACGGTATTTTTTATTGTATCTTGATATACTGTAATAAAATAATAATTAAAAAAAACTAATTCCTGCACTGAGCAAGGGAGTTGGAGTAGGTGACCTCTAGGTTCCCTTCTAACTCTGTCGCCTTT